AGTACTCCAGACCCCTGGTTGTAGCAACTAAAGTCCAGGTCTGCAAAGGTTTTCAAATTTCAAACGATGGACGCAAAGATCGTCCTAAATTCTATCTTGATTTCTGTAAGGATGACAGTTTTATAGGAACTTAGTTTTGAAAGGTGTCCCGTGCATCTATAGTTCCCTCTATTTATTATTGGTCCCATGAAACCGATTAATTTTTGGCGAGGGGTTTTCTTTTTGTAGAAAGCTTCTTTTCCCTACTCCACTGCGTCGACCTTATTAAGCGAAACATTGATGTCGTCGAGATTGAATGGGTCCTCGCTCTCAAGCTCCGTAGTTAGCTCGTTTCCTGCCTCATCACAGCTCCCAAGACTGCTGGAACTTCCACCTGTAGACGTCGTGATTCCATTTGAACCAGCACGTGACATCGACATCAAAGCCGGCAGCCTCAATCGAGTTCAGCACAACGGGCTGAGGCATGTCTCTCTACGCTTGGCTACAGTCGGCTGGCGAGGGTTGCCATTGCGAGCAGGGCTCTGGATAATGGCATTAATCGCATGTCATTCATTTTTCAAGTCTTCCATACATTATGCATCCACAAACATACATTATGGCCATTATTGTAATTAATGGCGAGCTGATCGCACATCTAATCGATGCACTGATGAACGGTATGGGCATCCCAGTAGTCCTCATTAATCCTAAGAAACAAGATCATTTCCAGTGAAATGGGTAACAAAGAGTATCTGTCAATCTAGGTTGCCCGTGCAACACTGAACAAGCGTTCAGCAACATTGGAAGTTGGTGGAATGTTCTGTGCAAGGTTGTACGAGTTCTTTTCGGACTCTAGGCGAGCCTTTTTCAACACAGACGCCGCAAAATTTTCCTTCTTTGACCCTTGGCGGCTCACTTCGCTCGCAGGTTGTCGACTCGAACGGTTGATAGTTGGAGAAAACGGACTACTGGTTGGCAGTGGATCAGTGCTGGTACAGTGCGCGTCATAATTATAGCCGCACCTGAAAAATAGAGCTCTTGCGCCGGAAACCGAGACCTGCCTGCAATCGGAGGGCTCGGAGACCGTCTTAAAGGGATAGAAGACTTGTGCAGCAAGCGAGGTTGAAAAGACGAAGTCGGCTTGGAGCCAGGAGGCAAAATCTAGTTTCAGGTCAGGTCAGAATTATAGCCGCACTTGGTATTATAAAATTCAGTGAAGTAAAAAACAAAAATGATTGGCTATTAAATGTAATAAATGAGACCTGTGGACAGTCTTGTGAAAGAGCGTTTAGAACCTGTTCTTAGATTCGCAGGGAAGCCAGAAACGATCCACGAGGGAAGCAGCTAATCGAGGAGGAGTGCATGAAGATAAACGAGCACTACAGGGGCGGGAAAAGCAACCGAGAGATCGGCAGGCTCTTCGGACGCGACGAGAAGGTGA